TGGCTGTTTTATATAGACCTAGTCTCCCTCGCAGCAGTTTTTTGGATGTCACGCAACGCTCCGTGACACAAGAGCGTTGCGTGACATCCAGAGACCAGTCTCTGAAACGTTTATCGTCTCTTTACTTGCGACATCTTAAACTTTTGAGAGGAATTAAAACGTCTCTACAGTGCGTTGATTAGACCGACTCAGACAACTTAAGGGGTTGAATAGATCCTTCCAAGGTTTTTTTCGACTTTTGCTAAAGAGCACTAAGCGAATATAGAATATCCATCAAAACTACTGGAAAGAGGGCCTTAAAATATAGTCAATTATCAAGAAAAGCAGACGTTTGTATGGTGGGGGGAGGGGGAGGGGACGAAATGCTACGACTTTGCCCGCCACCATACAAACGTCGTTTAAAATTCCGCGACTTTTCCGGGCTATATCATTAGTTTTCAACAAATCGCTTTCAAACTTGGCCAATTTACCGATTTTAAGGTCGCAGGGGACACCTTGGGCTCATTGTTATGCATTTATTTCAAGCGTACTATGCGCCAAAGTAATCTCGTACCCAGATCTCACTCTGGGTAGGAGATTAGCGCGAAAGTACAACGACTCATATCGACATGTTTATGAGATATTCATAACCGGAGGCCCTGTTGTGGAGGTGGGGGGCGGGTGTCTTGTTACCTTTTATGCCTGTAGCTCTTAAAACAGATATCCCTCATCCCTTATACTTCAAAGAATATTATCCCTAAAAGTCAGGGACCGCGCAGGGGAAGGTGATGGTGGGGGCCCTTACCCTGCCCCTCACTTTTTGCGCGTAAATAAAAAAAAAATTACGAAAATATTTAGTTGCATTCATGGTACTGAGATTGAACAAGATATGACTGTTGCTGTAAAGATGCAATAGTTATTGCGATTCATTTGCTGAAAGGACGAGCCGAAGCAAGTTACATCTTAATTTTTTCTTTCGTTGGTTCTTTGTCAATTTTAGTTCAATATGGACATAGTATTATGCAGCCATTGTCTCCTGGGTTTTGCGAATACATTAAAAAGGTTTTTCATGACCCTGTGGATATTTCCCACCTTATAATCCAGCCTGCGATCTTATATAACCAATTAAATTGTTCTAAATTGACTAGTTAAATCTATCTCTACTTGCCAACGAGCGAAGATTTTACCTATATGCGCGCGCTGTTCAATTTTTTTTAAGAATGTCATGAATTACCGTAATTAACGAAAAATAGATCGAACTCAATTCGATTGCATAACCGAAAATTGCCTTCAATTACTGACTTTATATAGATAAGTATTCTAAAACTTAACGTGATCATAAACTAATGTTCTGCATTATGTCATCATTAAGTCACCTTACACTAATCGTGCCAAAATCGCCGTTCCGACCACTGCACCTCAGTGCCACACATGTTTTGATAAATTCATTTTGTTACATCAAAACCATTTTTATTTTTTATACCAAAACCAATAAGACGAAGCACTTTTCGAAGGTGAGAATTTTTGAAACTCAAAAATGGCCTATTACGTTTACATTATCAGCTGCATTGTTGGATATCTGGTGAAGCGAATTCTTCCATCTTCATATGTAGGATAGCTGAAAACTCTAAAACAGTTTGAGGCCAAAGTGACTACTTCCTACGGCCTCGAGCAATTGCTGTTCCGTTTTAGCAGCCGAAAATTTCAAACAGAGATTTATCGAGAACGCTCTCATTAAAATGACAACAATTGATACAGCTCAAGACAGTTGGTATGAAATACAAGCTCTTGTACGCTATAAGTCTTATTAGCTTCAAAAGGGAATGTCTAGTTTTATCACAAATTATGGAAAAGTAATTATGGCAATGGCGTCACCGTGTTGCCATGGATACATCGATCTCGAAATTTTGGAAACTTCAAGCCATACCACTATTCAAATATGCGATACAATATTTTATTTCCTGCTTTGTTTCAGGTAATATCTTCGTATTTTGAGTTCTAATAAAGAGAGTAGGTATTGTTAATGAAAAACCGAGTCAGGTCACCTTTAATAACAGCTTCCATACATCACTCAATAAAACCAGACTATGAATATCACTTTGTATTGATGCCCAGCGACTAACAGATAACTATATTTACATTTATCACCAAGCAATAAAGGAATCTCAGTGCAGCACTTCAGAAATAACGGCGGTCATGATGAGTCAGGTCTTGGTTTGACGTCACATTTAATGTTTTTTTCATTGTGGTTTTGATCATTCGTAACTTTAGAAAGAAGATTATATTGAATTTCTATTGGTTTTACCTTTATGCTGACATTATAATTTTGCTTCTTGAGCAAAAGTTTTGCATCTAGCTAGCAAGCGAGTACTATGTTTAAATCGTAACTAGGTACGTGACATAAAAGACGGACAAACTATAAATACCCCAGGGCGCAAAATTATATGGTTCGGAGAATTTTTGTTTTACTAATACACCGAATCGTGCTTAAAAGTTATAGCATAATCAAGAATAATCCGGCGAAAATTCAGCTCGATAGACATCAAATAAATCATGGTTGAAGGGCTAATTTATAAATTGGGTCTCGTGGTTCTTGAACAATTCCCTGGCTTCTCAGACCCTTTTAATATAGTGTCAGCCAACCGTTAAGTAAAGTTACTTAACTGACGTAATAAACCGTTAAGTAAAGTTACTTTTTAGCAATAACTTCTTCCGTTATATCATTTAGGTTGCTCTCGTCAGGGTAAGCAAATTTCTGATTACTACAAACAGCAAGGACCGAGATACTAAGGACATAACTATGTAATCCGCCAAGGTAAGCGTTTTACAATTTCACTGAAACTGACAAATTATTTGATAGCCTGAGGAAAAAAATATTAATATTGAATTGAATGTGTTAGCTGCTAATGAGGTTTGATTACGTCTCACCAGATCTGTAATAAAATAAGCAGTTCTTCGGAAGAAATATTAATGGTCAAGCTCTTAATTCATACTTGACTGAAAAAAAAAATCGGTGTGACATCAAGGGAAATACTGATGGAAATGCTGTATTTGAAAAGATCCATGCCCTTGCAGTGCCTTGTGGTTCTGCCATGTATCTCACGTTTTCTCATGCGCTGTTGTTAAGACAGTTGTACAATAATACAGAATTGTTAAATTCTAGCTTGAGAGGAACGTCAAGCCAAACTAAGAACTATCCTAGCTGCGCAGATTTGGACTAGCTACAGTTTCGTCATATTTTAATTTGAGGTAGTTCACACCGAGGAACAGTAAAATAGCTTGGTAAATACAAAGGTATGGTTTTGAAGAACGTGTGTGTTTTTGTCAAGGAGACGCAACTGGAGGATATTATTTTTTTGTATGTGATCATCGTAGTTATAACTGCTGTCACTACGCAAACCAAGGTCCTTAGCTGCCTCTACGGGATGTTGTGTTTCGCTGCAAGCAAATTTCTCAGTTGTTTTTTTGTCGCGAAACATAATGTCCTGAAATGACGCCACAATCATTCCCACTCTCCAGTTTTTAGCTGCACGAATTTGTACCCCACCAGGAGAGGAATTTCACTTTTTTGGTACGTGAAAGCCCGAGAAAGAAAAATCGATAGCAAATTTTTTTCATTTTTCTCTCCTAATCAGGGCATTCTGTAGATTCTATCAAGCAAATAGAGAAAATTTAAACCTTCTTGACTCGCGATAAATTACATACATATCTTTTTTGTACAAGAGCGGCAAACAATCTCCGATTTTCCGTTGAGTGCCGTTATTGTACAGGGATCAGAGGACTGTTCAGTAGTTCAGCATTTTAAATAGAAACATTTTAGAAGAAGGGCATGTGATTCAATTCTAGTACAGACGCTACGTTACTATGTTGCTCAGTATCACGTATTCACGCATAAAAGAGTTTATGATTACCTGACTTAATGAATAGCGGAAGAGGACCTGGGCAATAATCTTTTTAAGTTGTTTCAGCAATAGCAGACCTTATATGTAAAACTAGTATTATCGACCATAATCTTAAAAAAGTGGTTGTAGATAGTAAGTCAAACTTTTTTCTTTCATTTTATTTTTGCGGTCAATTTAAAAAATAGAACATTGGTATTACTCCCAGTCTGCCACGATAGAAGAGCCCTGGCCATCTTTTAGTTACTCCTAAGATTTAAAGGAACGTTTCGGGCCTTATTTTTATCCATCTTCTTTTTAATTTTCTTTATTTTTTCCTTAGTCATATCATAGTTAGTAAAGTGGAATGGTTATGTAACCCGTTAGACTATTTTTTATATGTTTTTGTCAGCTTTTTTGGACTTGACTGTGCACAACGTTCAAAAGCATTCCTATCATTTTGAACTTACTGACCAATAGAAACATTGATTTAATTTATTCAGTCACAATTTGTGAACAAAAAACAAACGATTGTGCGCGGTCAGGGAGCTTCCAACATAAACTACAGCGCCATTGCTTTCAAACAATAACATATGGAAACTAAAGAAACTTAGTATCTATCTCTTCTCGCCCACGCTGTCCTGTGCATTTTGTGCAACTACAGATGATTAAGGCTTGAGCTCATGATCAAATGTAATGTATATTTTGCAGAATGAAATCAGGAAAGCAAAATGACATTTAATCAGAGATTTCGCTTAAATCTGATCCGGTGAATAACATAATACAATGTTCTAACGAAGTTATTTACAAGATCAAATGTTCAGAGTGGTAAAAAGAAGACGAAGCCGGGGGCTTATAAACTATAGGCTTCCTGGAACTATAGGGTGAACCATGCAAATTAATGGTACTGATTGAAAATTTCGATTAATTAAAAAAAAAATACAGAAAAGAAAAGAAAAGAAGAGAAAAAAGGAAAGAGAAAAAGAAAATGCAGTGTCCTGAATATGCCGCGGTCAAATTATACTTTTTGTCATGTCTGTGCTCATTACAGATAGTCTCTAACAAGAATTTGTTAAAAGACGAGCTCATACTTAACTGTAATTTGTATTTTGCAGAGTCAAAATCGGAGAGTGAACCTCAAAGATGACTTTTAGCCAGAGGTTTCGCTTAAACCTGATCCAGGAGGCTAAAACAGAGCTAGACTTTCTTGCTTTGGTAGATGATTTTCCCAGTTTGTATGCGGGTCCTGTTCTCAAAAATGCTATCAGGAGATATGAAATGTTCTGGCTCCCACTGGCAGCCAGAGAGGGTAGCTCCAGTAGACTTCTCGCAGCGCCATTAGACATTGCTTGGGTATGGTATCTTCACATGTTGTCACCACAGGATTATGAACAGGACTGCATGAACATTGTCTCTCAAGTTGTTGACCACTTGCCCATGAACAGATATCAAAGAGAACGAGGTCTTCAAAACGCACGATACTTGTGGCAGAACGCATATCCTACAGAATGGTTTGAAGTCGACTTAAACTATCCTACGCCATTTACTATGCCGTACGGACTGAAAATTCGTTATGACATCGAAAAAGCATCTTATAACCAATCCAAGTTCTATTATCAAGTATCGCTCCCACACTTTAGCGATAGCAAGTTTCTGGAAAGCGCTGTTGAGCGATACGAACATCATTTGCATCTCAAGAGCCAAAATCCACAAGTTCCTATGGTCCCGTGCACCGATATGGACTTGATTTGGCACGCACACCTTCATCACCCGCTGAACTACAAAGAAGTAACTTCAGAAATATTCGGGTCAGTAGTCTATCCTGGAATCTATGACTCAAGTCTCAGCCTTGGACTAACTTTGGACGATTCTGAGACTGGTACGAGGGCTCTATCTTCTGCAGCGGGTTTCAAGTATGACAAACCAGGAACCGTGTACAGAGGTGAGCCACCTGAACCACGACCTCCACGACAAAATGGGCTTTACTCCTCCTTTGGAAGGCTCCGCTATGTCATGAGAATATTGCAAGTAGAGCTGGTAAATGTGGATGTGAGCAAAAAGTTTGCTGTCCGAATTTATGATCCTATGGGCGGTCTGATAGTGGATACAACGATTCAAGGAGGAGTCCGTCTTAATTTAATGTCCCAGTGCATCATTGACAACGAAAATCGTCACACGCTCACGGTATCTTTGCACCAGAAAGCACTGCTTGGTTTTGAGGTCTATTGGTTCATCTGGGTCGAATTTGCTGTCCTTTATTGATGCATATACATACGGTGGAATACCTCAACAGCCTTGGGTGATAGATGTTCCCTTTGCTGCTGCACAAGCTATCGTGAGGCTGTCAGCCATGTTGGACCCTCCGTCGATCGAAGGCTATCGATTCAAAGTTCAGCCAGATCCTTACTTCGCAAACGTTAACCATCCTTGTTTTGTGCTCAGTTTTCCACAGTCGATGTTCTTACCCAAAGATTTTGCAAAAACGTACCTGCCTTGCGAATGTGCAACTCACACTTTGTTGGACTGCAGAGGGCGGGAGGCTTTCAAGTGTCGCGTTGTCCACAGTGTTGAAGGTTTGCTATCGGCGGTGGAGATCATCAGTGTTCACGGTGTTGTTGTTGCATCTGCTCACACAATGGATCTCAACGCTCTTCCCGAAAAAGCAGCGATTGAAGATTACACGAGATGCGCTTATTTAAACCGCGTGGAGGGCGAGCGAGCGATGGTTATTAAAGGTCGAAAGGACTGGGGCATCTGTATTGGGAAATGGCAGAGAGGAAAAATGTTCAATCGTGCAGCAGGCCAAGTGGAAATCAAATTTTTCAAGCTCAAGGGGCTGAGAGGCTGGTGTAAAGTACGCAAATTCAAGGGTGGCCTTTACTTGGTCTACCTCGAGCCAGCTGTCTTTGTTTACGTGGACTTAAAGAGAGGATTGTTTGTGTTTTCTCCAATGGCACAGGATGTTCCAGAAATCGTTGCTTTTGCCTTCTCGATGTCCATTCTCTATTTGCTCTGCAAGCCTTACAATCCGACAGCGGCGAACGTTTCGTCACCATCCTTTCACAAGAAAGCCAAAGAAGATAAGGTGACCCCTATGCTTCTTGCTGCTGGATACAAAAGCTCTGTAGTTCCAACTAATGTCTACCTTTCACGAAGCATTAAGAGCCTTTCAGCATCAGGTCCATCCCTGGACGGTGCGGGAACTTACGATCTTGATTCAGAATCTGGTCCCGATTGGATTATAGAGCTCATCAAGAAAAAACCGGAAGCATTATTGTGGTATCATATGAGCGGTGTGCCCTACGAACTCCCGACCAAAAAGGAACGTACCAAAAGTTCTGGGAGCTGGATGAGAAGTGGTGGTCCAGGAGGAGTAGGAGGAGGAGGAGGAGGCGGAGGAGGAGGAGGAGGAGGAGGAGGAGGAGGTTGCAGCGGTGGTGGTGGGTGTTAAGAGAGTAGAAACGGATGTTTACCTATGTTACCTACATAGCTTAGATGATAAACATTCTACTGCACAGTTGACTATTGTACCGCATCAGAAGTGTGCGAAGGCCAAGCATCTGATCTAAATAATGAACCGAACATATATAGACTGATTGAATGTTGCCAAAGGAAAGAGTTTTAATTGTGTAACAATGTTGCTATTTTAACCGATTAAGTTTATATCTGTCAGAAAATAAAAGATAATAAGACTTTCAAGACATCAACAGTTTAGAGAAGCACAATAGGGGCATTTATACGACGATAAATAAGACGCGTCTTAAATAAGACGCGAACTGTACCATTTATACGAGCATGTCTTATCTACTAGGACGCGTCTTAGCTAAGCTGCGTCTTATTTTAGACGAAATGTGCCGTTTATACGGAAAGTTCGCGTCTTATTTAAGACGCGTCTTATTTTTCCTCGTATAAATGGCCCTAATATCTTACCCAAATAAGTGAACATAGCATGTTGAATGTGTCATAGATCAGAATCCCCGAGAAAGACTACTGGGATTATTGTAGTAAATAGTTTAAGTTTTAATAATTTTTACCTTATAATCAAGTAGCTGATATCCCTTTTTGGGTAATCGTACATTGAAAGCAAGGTTGCTATGTATATAGTCATATCAAAAGTAGGTTGAGTTTGATCGTCCGGATGAACGTAGTCCTTAATAGGATTGTTGTTGTTGACAGTGACTGACGTTTCGACAACCTATGTGGTAGTCATCTTCAGAGTCAAAGTGAGTTGCATCACTTCGGTTGATGGTATTATACTCTGGTTATTGACCTGATTGGTCAATTATGTCGCGATGTTATTGGTCGTCTGTCAGTTAAGCCGTGATGTTATTGGCTATGAAGACTCGTTATGTAATTGGTGCTTTTCGATCCGTCTATTGTCACAGTCAAGCAGTCGTATATGTTATGTTTTAAGAGCCAGTCTATGTATTTCAAAAACAGGCGCCAAAAAGTTGTGACCCTCTCCTAAGTAAAAACTAATAATCAACAATGGTCTCTCTCTGGACATATGGGAGCCTATATAATCTTAGCTCTCCGCCTAATTTAGTCTTTTGCGTCATAAAGTTGAAATGTATTATACTAGAATTCCAAGTATCGTGCTTGTCCTCTTGCTTTTTAGTTTTTTGAGACTTCCCGTATTTCCTCTAATAAGCACCTAGGCCCTAATTTAAAATTCATATAAAAGGAGGGGCGCTTATTGAATGTAGGACACTTAATGAAGGGGAGCCTTTAATTTAACAAATGGACTGTAATTTTACTTTGTCGAAATATGTAATAAAGAAGTAAAACAAAAACTACAACATTATCCTCGAAATCCCTAAGTCAATATTTAAATTGTTTCGTTTGTTGAAACAGTTGTTGGAAATCAAGCGTATCGTAATCCCCATATAATTTACTCACTTTTCACAGTAATGTATCAGTGTGCATGTATACAATATAGTGATTATCTCATAATCCTCGTCAGTGACATGCAGATCGTCGCATTCCTCTTGTATTGCCACTGTTCCAGAAAAAAGAGTTGAGGGAGGGGGGCGTTCATTCGAGAGGGGCGCTTGTTTGATATTTTGGCCTGGGGAGCTTTTATTTGAGAAAATGCGGTATGACAACTTACACAACAGTCAAATCGCAACTTGAGCCCATATAATCCCCACTGAGCTAGCCTTTTGTAACGAAAGTTTAGTACACTGTGCTGGAAACGAAGTATATTGAATTCAACGTACTTGTTATTTTGACTGTTGGCAACATTTGTCCAAATGAGTTTACTTAAATGCACCCAAGACGTCCTTTTTGGCGAAAACAAAGTGTACATAAAGTTCTGCGATACACGTATTTCTAGTATATTTGGATAGTGGTATTCCACTAGCTGTATGGTGGGAACTGTGCCTTGGAAAACTTAAGATGAGCATTTAATGGAGAGGTCTATAAGCCGTAGGCCCCGTCTCACAACCCTTGCACATGTAAATTTTGTGGGACGTTAAAGAACCCACCCACCGTCCATAAAGAGTACATATATCATACATCATGATATACGCACCGCGCTTTTATTAGCCTATTCCAGGCGTTCGGCTATCACCCTCTCCCCACACCCTCGTTTTTTTTTTTTTCTGGTCACATCTCTTTGCGATGTGCCTACGATCTGAACGCCTGGAACAGGCTACGCTTTTATTGATTTTAGCTGGGATGGTCCCACCCTGGCTCCACAGGTCTGTTCTCGAAATACCATCATGAATGAGATAAAAAAAAATAGCCTCTGGAACCTAGAGGGGATGGTCCATCAAGGGTTAAAAAGATGTCTAAGGGCGTTTTGCATTTGACAGAACTGGCCGGCCGGACCATTACCCGATCAGACAGAAGAGTTTTTGCTGAAAAACCATCTCCTTCGTGCATAATATTTAGGATTTGACTGATCTGGCTAAACAGTTTTGATTGAAAGAGAAATCATCATTGGGACGGGAATGGTCTGGCCTGTCAGTTCTAACAAATGAAAAGCGCCCTAAAATCTCTGGCCGTGTAGGTTCTGTCGCATTGGTCCGTATCACGTGATCTTACAGAGTATTTATACATGCCTAAGACTACTGGACGGACTGAAAAGTCAGGATCCGGTTCCTGAAAGGCCAATTAGCGCTAATCCAGGATTAAATTTTGTTCCGTTTTTGTATTTTACCTCCCTATGTGTTGCTTAGAGTAACATTTTATGTTATCATTTTTGTATCTCGGAGTAAAGGCCCAACGGTATTTTGTAAGCTCGAGTTGCATGCTCTTAGAAACGAAAACCTTGCTTAAAGTTTGGCTTAATCTTGTTTGGGTTAAACTTAACCGTCTTTCGAGGAACCGGGCCCTGGCTATTTTGTATACACGAGTCAATGAAAACTCTCTCTCGTCTCTTACTAGCGACGACTTAAACTTTTTAGAGGAATTAAAAAAGTCAGTCTGTTAAGTGCGTTGATTAGACATACTCAGATAACTTAAGGCGTCGAACAGACCCTCCCACGGTTTTTTCAGGAACTTTTGATAAAGAGCAGTAAGCGAATATCCACGGATCAACGCTGCTGGAAAGAGGGCATTAAAAGAAGAGAGTAAAGAAATTGCTTCATTCAATAAGTAGAGAAATTTTACTGATGTGTGTGTTGTGGAAGGGGGTGAGAGGGGGGGACGGGCATAAACTTGTCCCTCCTATTTTCGCTAGCCCGTAATAGGGTCCATTCGATTGACCTTAAAAATGGGAATTCGAGCGATAGCCCGGAAGTGTAACAGCGAAATGACGTTGTGGAAGAAAAGCAAAACGACCTGCCATGCAGGGTTATTATTGTATGACGAAAGTGATAACTTTTCCTTGATCAGTTGAGTGTTAAAGTTTAGACCTGACTGTAGTTCTTCAGGTTCGTTGAAAAAAACGTTATTTCACACTTGAAAGCTTAGACATACATGTACAGTGAAACTCTGCCTTCCGGCCAACCACCTCGGTAATTCAGTCACCTCGTTATTACGGGCACTTTTTTTGGCTGCCCGGCAGAACGGCTATACATTGTCTTGTAAAAAAACACTCGTTAGTACGGCCAATTTTTTTGTCCCATTGGTGACGGTATTAACGGGGTTGCACTGTATTAAAAATAACTATATAAGAGCTCAGCCTTTACTCTTAAAACGTTTTGTCCAAGTAATCATCCAGGGAGCTTTTAGAGAGCTTTATATTCGAGTACAAGGACGAATAGGAGCCCTACATTTAACTTTAAGTTTTCTCGCCTATTGTCTAAAAATAGAAATACCGGGAAGCTTCATTGTACGTTTATTCACCACAAAGTTAATACCCTTATTTCCGTTGAAGGAGGTGAAGCCCTTTCCCTATTACTAAATGATAAAATTCCTAACGTTTGAAACTTGTTTTCGTTACTACGACATCCTCAGTAAAACTCGTGGTAGAATGACGAAGGCTATCACATTTTCCCGCCAAAATGACGTTGGTTCGCGCGCGCGCAATACCCAATATTGAGAAAACCAGGTTCTCGTTGTCGTCCTCGTCTTAAAATTTAAAGCTCTATGTAAGCCGCAAGTTGACGCTCGTCTTTCAATCTCCTCTTAACTGTTTATTAAATCCTTAGGGTTTGAGAGAAGTGGTTTTGAAACCAAAGTGGAGGGGATTACCTCAGAACGTCCTTGCCCTCTGTGAGTCCCCCCCCAAAAAACGTTTCGTTGTACTTTTCGGGTAATTATTAGAGCGCTGTAATGTGTACAATGCAGATAGCGTTGTTCAACCAAGATGGTCGCCCGTAACAGAAAGTCTTCTATCTCGACGATCTTACGGAAAAATAGGGGACTCTGAACAGTCTAATCGCGTTGCAGTTGGTAAAATGTGCATTCAGAGACATGATGACCGTTCACTTAAAGATCAGCGTCATCACGAAGCACTCAGAAGGCGCTGTTTTCAGACTTACTTGAGAGACAATACATGAATAGCCCGTCCAATTCCCAAAAGCCCAAGAAAACAATAGGAGCTTTTTTTCAAAGGCTAATGAACGAAGAGATTTCTGAGAGCTTCCTAGCTCAAGAATCATAGTGAAACCTTTGGCAAATTTAACGCCCGTCGACTTTTCGCTTTTAGGCGCTCAATCGAAATTAGAGATTTTAAAACTCAGTAAGTGATGACCATAACAGAAAGTGTCCAAACTCCAAATATGACACTTTTTTGAAAAGTAGGGAATAAATGCATAATTTGGGATGCTTATTACCATACACAAGCCATCTTATTGTGGTCTTAGGAAATGAAAATAATTAGATAAAAAGGGTTATGTTAGATACAAATGAATTGATGTCGCTAACCATACTGTATTTAGTAAGAGGACAGTAAGATCCAATTAAAGCTCAGAATCCATCATCAGTTGCAAGACAGAGATCGAATCACTCTGGTGTCCCAAATGAGGGCTGCAAACCACCTCTTCCCCTTTTTTTAACTGAAATAAACACGCGTAAAAGACTTGGGACCTGTCCGTTTGTTCAATGCAAGTCTCTTCATATTCAAAATTACTCAGGTATATAGGATTTAAATTTCCAGACCTGGATTTGTCTGGATATTGGTAACTGAAGATAATTACGGTGGGAAATACGCTCTTGTTTCTGGGAAGAGTCTTGATAAAATGACAAGAGCCATAATGGGTCCCATTATGGCTCTTGTTAAATGAGACAAATATATGGAAATCTAAAGTAAGCCTCTGGAGAAATTTAAGCGCAGGTACGCCCCCAAAATGTTTAAGTACAATCCTTTGCTTTGTAGCTTTAGTTTACAATTGATATTTTTTTCAGAACAGCAGTTTTACGGAACTTATTCGACATTAGATTCTCATACAAACACTGTAATTTCTCACACGTTTGCCTACTCGTCAACATGGCGTCGAAAACCGTGACAAGGTCTATTACTTACTTAGGTAGTCGAGGAGGATTGTATATATTTAGCAGGGTGGGTGAGTCCACATAACTTAAAAATTTCAAAAAAGCAGATCTCGATATTTTATATATATATATACATTTTCCAAAGTAGTTCTCGGGAGTTTTCGCATTTCATGTTTCCTTGCCTGACCGGACTTCTTCATCGAGAAGAGGGCTAGCGTTGGCTTCAGACGATAATCTTGATCAACTTTTACTTGTAGCCGGCTAACTGTGTCCGACAGAGAATCGATCTGTGCCTTAATTAAGGTCTTGTATTTTCTTTCCTATATCCTATTTTAAACATGCCTTACTCTGTTGCCAGTTTTAAGAAAGAAATCCAACAGAAAAACTAGTGAAGAGTTCAAAATTTAAAGAAGCTTAAAACCTCAACCTCCATTTTTGTCAATACAACTCATCGCTGACCGATTCCACTCCGTTCGACCAACTCAACAAGAACCTTGCCCATCACCACCTGAATACCCTCCAAAGGCACCACAGACACTACTGACCCCTTTATCGCAATAACCTCGAGCACTAACGTAGCCAATATTTTCGCCTTCGCAGCCTCCTTCATGGGTAAGGCTGCCATCAACTTCTTTGTGGTCATCATCAGTTTCCCCGCCAGCAAGGCTTTCCCAAGTATCGTTCGTATCATCAGAATCTTCACTTCCTTGCTCTGGTCCCGCATTACAATTATAGCAAACCTCATCTTTATCAAAATCATAGCTTACATTACCGTCAAACCTGTTCGGAGGACGGAACTCAAGAGACGCACACTCAATGTACGTATTCGTTGGCACGGTGCGGCAGAAATATCCAGCAGTGTGAAAAATTGGTGAGATCCGATCTGTGCCGCGAATTTGGTCACTGGGAGACGATTCCATGGACCGTTTTGCTATGTAAGGCATGCACAGAAGATGGAGAACTGCTACTGACAATGCAAGGGCGATAGCTTCAGGGATGGCTTGAGCATGTGGGGAAAGAAAGATCTTGCTCTTTCTCAAGTCCAAGCGGATCACAGTGTTGGGATCCATTTTTATCACGAACTTACCGAATGCCAACTTTTTTACCGCACACCAACTGGGTTTGTCATAAAGTTTAAAAATTTTAATTTTGACAAAGTTCTCGTAATGTCTGTAACACCAAAATCCTGGCTTTATTTGGTGATCCCATTTGGCCACACAGACAGCCCAATCTTTTCGACCCCGAATGAGCATGGCTCTCTCCCGCTCAGCTGGGTCCAGTACTATACACGTGTTTGCATCTCTGATAGCATCTTTGTCTGGCAAAGAAGCCGAGTTGATTGTGTGAGCAGAGGCAACAACCTGTTGACAGAGATTAGTAATTTCAACAGCAGACATCAGGCCTGCAGACGAGTGAACTATGCGATATTCAAATGCCTTTCTTTTTCTCCAGTCAAGCACACTCTGCGTAGCTACACTGCAAGGCAAGAACTTCTTTGAGAGATCACTTGGAGAGAGGACAAGCTGTGGATCGCGAAGATATGCAGATGGGTGTTCTTGAGGGGAAAACGTACCGATGCTCACTTTGAAGCTGTATCTCTGTAGATTGGGTGGATGTATCTTAATTGTTACTTGTGCTGTGTACTGGGCTTTATCGTTGCCAAACAAAATGCCTACAGACGAAGTCGTTGTGTCGTTCACTGATGTAGCCTCAAGAGACGACAACAAACTTACAGTCGACTTTGTCACAAATTCTCTTTTGAAAAATAAGCTCCTTTGAGAAATCAAAGCTGTGATAGTGTGTCTTTTATCGTTGTCAACAATAAACGGTGTGGCGTTCAGATCCTTGACTGCACGGTTACCTTAAAGGAGGAAGGGTATGATAAAATAGTCAATGGTCTTTTTTTAAATTCACTTTTTGTGGCTGTGTTGCTTATTTATTATGGAGTTCCTGTGGCCGTGTTAAGGTACGGTAAAACGTACAACAAAAAAGGTGGGCATTTGAAAATGTCGTTTTTGTGCCAATTTGGTAAGCGTATGAATCGAGGGTCCTTTTTTTCACTTTCGAAACCAAAAAAATGCTTAAAAAAAGTGATTCAACGATTTTTTTTTCTTCGAGTAAAATGCTTTGCGGTATTTTCACCGGAAGTAATATGTAACGAAAAGTGGCCCGAAAACTTCCCTAACCGGGTTTTCGGGCTGAAGAAAGCGTCGCTACTAGGCTCGATTACCGTCGCTCTGTCAGTCCTCCCCGAGAAGAGGCAAAACAAAAACTTACCTTTGAAAGAATGCGACAAAATATCTTGTTCTTCCGGACCGACCAGTTGAATATAGAAGGTTCTCTTGCCCATGTTAAACGTCTCTACCTGTAGTACATCCACGGTGTATTCACAGCGAGCAAGAGAAGCATACAGCCACAAAGGTCTAGGTGGCAGTGGGTCTGGTGGATCACCTCTCCGCATTGCCCCCGATTTGGTAAAAAGCAACCCAGCCGCTTTCCACACTTTTCGTGTCTCTGCTTCACAATCCTGCAACTTGGACCCTGGGCTGCAGCTCTTTACCGCATCATGATGATGCAGTAGCCATCCCAGGAACTGCGTTGTTGACTGGTTGTAATTTACAGGGTGAAGTCGGTGAGCGTGCCAAATGAGGTCAAAATCATAACATGGGACAATGAATACTCCTGGATTTTCTTTCGTCAAATGAAGATGGTGTTCATAACGCTCAACAGCTTCCTCCAGAAATTGTGTATCTTTATAATGTGGTAAAGAAATCTGGTAGTAGAATTTAGATTGACGGTAACTGGCTTCCTCCAAATCGTATTGTTGGAGTTTGCTTTTCGTCTTGTCAAACTTTGATAGGTCTGGTGATTGGCTGGGGTCAACCTCAAAAGGCTCATCTGGGTATTCTTTTTCCCAGAGGGACTTTGCTCTTTCAAGTCCATTTTCGAGATGGACTCCTCCTAAAGGCGCGTGATCAACTATTTTAGATACACAGTTAATGCAGTCTTGCTCGTAGTTATATGGCGCCAACATGTGTACATGCCACACCCAGGCAATGTCTAGTGGAGCTGCTAGAAATCTGCTCCCATAGCCTTCCTTCGCAGCCAGTGGCAGCCAGAAAACTTCATATCGCCTGATCGCATTCTTAAGGAAGGGGCCCTTGTACAGGTCCGCAGGATACTCGTCAACTTGTCTCAAAAAATCCAGCACATTCTTAGCTGCTTGCACCAGGTCAAAATCAAGTCTTGAGCAAAATGGTTTCCGATACATACCTTTGTTCTATGTTGAGTGACGGCAAGTAAAACACAAAATGAGTTTCGCTATATATAGGGAAAGGAATTATGAAAGAGATAATTGTCGTTTAGTTAATTTCAATGGATCCGAGAAATAAAAAAAACAAACTACGAGATATCATAAAAACGATCGAAACCCGACTGGAATTGGGCTGGTTGTGTGGCGAGAAGGACAGACAACTGTTGGACAACCCTCATTACGACGCCCCGGGGACACCTTGAATGGGAACCGAGGAAGACCAAGGACGAGATGGAGGGGTATTGCGCAAAACGTGTTCCAGTGGAGGTCAATGGGTCTCTCTTACATGGTCGTTTCGCCTTTCCTGCCAGAATTTCAATTGTGAGGCGAAACGAAAATAGAGTCTGATCTCAGGTTAAATGGCAAAGGTCTACGTCCAACGACGGACATTCAACGGCTGAAACTAAACTGAACTAATTCCAAAGGATTACGAAGTTAAAGATTGTAGTCAAAGGAAGGAGATTTCCCCAGAATTGCGTGACGAAAACTTTGGATATTAATAAACGTGATGGTTTTCGTGCCCCCAAATTTTGCATATGTTATTGTATTTAAAAATGCTTTAGCGAACATGCAGTTCTCCCAGTTGCATCTGAAAACAACAGTTTATGCTTCTCTCTTGTTTATGCAAAATTTGAAGGTGAAGCAAGGGGGGGGTAATGGGGGATTGCGTGACTAAACAATGTAAAAAAATGTCCGTTTATGTTTGCATAAATACTAAAGGTAAGGTAAAACGGGCAACAAAATTTTGCAACATTGCTGCTCCAAAACGAGTTGAACAGCGATATTGCGCGTTTTTATTACAAACCACGAAAACAAACCTTGTAACGTTATTTGTTGCAAGGCCGTTCGAAAGTGAGTGGTAAAACGTGCAATATCGTTATTCAACAACGTTGCAGACAAGTTGCACGTTTTTGTTGTTGCCTGGTTTACCTTATCTTCATTTGTGAAAGATGCACTGTAGTAATAAACGATTCAGCAACTCACTATAAATATCACAGAATGACTTCTAACCGTGAGGATAATAGCCTGCGAAAACAGAGGTATTTCCGTCTGTGTTCGCAGGCTAGTTGGATAATCATTAGCCCGAATTTCACGCGATTGCTTCTAGTCGTTTTCTCCTCTCCGCGACACGAGGCAATCGGATGAAATTCAGGCTAGGGTTTCAGCCTGTAAAAGGATAAGAGGTACACGAATCTCAGAAATCTCACCTCAGTAGCGACTTTCCGATGCTCACCCTATCCTTGAAATAAATGTTGAAATTGAGCTTGACCAAAGCCTTTTACCTCACGCAGACATTACCCATTATCTTTTTTCCGTTTTTTTTCTTATCCGTCTTGTAGAATTTTTTTCAGGCCCTGATTTATATTTCTTATTAATTGGCGGTCACATTTAATTTTCCCTTGCGCGAATTTTTTTTTGTACTTCGCCCGCCCCCCCCATAAGTTTTCTAATGGTCCGTCCCTTACCCAATCTTTCTCCGTCTCCGTCTAGTAGGCGTGATTTAATTTCTTATTTCCGGTCACACAATTGTGTATTACGTTTTCGCCGGGGGTGGGAGTTGTAATTATTAGTTGGTCGGTGGTATGTACATCCTGTAGAGGAGATCACCGGCATTTTCGATTTCGCCGGTTTTCTTTATAGGGCGAAGGACAAAATTTCGAGGACGCACCCACGCGCGTGGTGACAAAGGGGAAGGAGGCCTTTTTGCCTCTCCCCTGTCGCGCGTTCCCCTTCCCACACCCTCTATAAAAATATACAAAAAATTAACCAGGGCCTCCGCAGGCTAGCATTTTCATGACCGCATTGGCTATAAAGGGCCTTTTGAAACAGATCAGAATTAGTGAATCTAGGTTGCACATTTTTCAACACCGCACAGCAGTTAGAAACTATAGCCAACGTTGGATATATTAGAATTGTAACTCCGAGCTGAGGCTTTCTCGTCGTTTTTCTATCTTTTGTGCTCAATTCTCTTCTGGGAATTGTGAGATAATTGATACGTGAAAAATCTGCTCCTAAAACCTCCGGAGTCGCGTAGAATCGAACTGGGCAGTTCAACATCAAAGTGAACATTTGTTTAAAATAAACTTTTTGGAGGAGATTTACCCCCGCGTCTCGCCTCTCTGGTGTGGTGTTGAAAAGTGAGGGACTACTTGTAGTCTATAGTACAAGAGGTTTTTCTTACCTATTTTCCCCCGCTTACCCTTGGAAGGAAAGGGGACATTTTTGTTAATCGCCTTTTTTCCCGCAGGAGCTACTACTCAAATATTGAAAACGCAATTAAAAGTTGAACGAATCTCAAAAATTAGTTCCTGCAAAGCTGACAAAACATCGCCGTATAACTATAAACCTTCGTCGGTTATTTCAGCCCTTTTCGCCGTTCATTAATTCCTCGAATCTGGCCACAAATGGTTTAATTGGGCAGGGAGGGGTGGGTGGGGGAGCATGTAATGTCTAGTCGCGAGAGCACTGGGGTAAAGTAACAAAAGAGGCAAAATGCTAATAGCGGGAAATCACAATTCACTATTCTTGTCATTGTTCAAACCACGCTGTTTATTTAGGGGAAGAAATAGTCTTTAACAACCGTTCTTGACTCGAATTTTTTTCTTAGAAGTTGTTTTGCTATCACAGTAATACATGACATAAATTATGTTCTCACAGTGTACAATCTCGGAGCAGAGTTTGTCGGCCGAGCAGGACTATCAACACATGTTTACAAATAATTTGAAGAGAAAACTCGAAACTGGTCAGAGAAATGGCTTTACTACCACGATGGATAACGAATTGTGTACCCAAAGGCAGGACAATTGTATCACAAGCGAGGTAGGTTGCTTCGATGCCATTGATTTGAGGCCGCTTTTGTCTTCTCAGAAAATATTTTCTCAGGAAGTTGTTTTCGGGGATCGCACCCGACCGCACGTACTTTGATAGACTTGACTGATCTTCACCTTCGAGATACAATGTACGCTGTACATGTAAACTTCAGCACTAAAAATAAAAAATAAGTTAAAAGTTAAGCTAACTTCAACCCCAATACGTTGTAAATATTCAACTCTTTTGATTTTTATTTTACAGAAAAGACCACGTTTGTCAGGACATTTTACCAGTGATCAAGTGGAAGCCGCACAACAGATTTCCGGAAATGTCGAGTTTAACTTAAATTATGACCAAACTGAAAACAGCTCTGTTGTTTATCCCAGTGAAGCTCGAAATGGAAACGTTATGGGAACTGATTCTTTGCTTCAAAGTAATTTGGAATGGAAAGCATCAAGCGAACTCGAGGAAATTACAGGAATGGATGTTGAATGTGGTCACTGTCAAATTGCAACTTGCCCGCCAAATTTGAATGTTGTGACAAACGCCGTGGGTAATGAAAGCTTTAGCAGTGATGAAAATTCTCCAGCAAAAGGATCACCTGCAAGGGAATTTTTGCAAAGGTTAGTCTGCAAAGGCATTAATTTTCTTCTTTGTCATTCACATTGATGTGTAACAGGCCACAGAAATACTCATCCCCACTCTCCACCACATTGAAAGAGACATAAGCCTATTTATAGTCAAGAGGTATCATTTAGGGAAACATTTTGTTGTTCATCTTGTTATGCATCTCTATTGTATGGGCTTCCTTTTGTTCATGACATATCACAGGGATAGTTTGTCTAGTCTTGTAGTGTCCGTTATGTCCGTCTTTCAACTCGAGACGCATAACCAGACACTGACTACAAAATGTTTGCTCAAGTTCTTCCAGACAAATCATGGGACTTAAGAATAAAAGTGGCCGTATACACATTATCTGTTTGCATGGATGGATAATGCACCCTCAAGTATAAAAATGGTCATTCACCATTTTATAGCAATGTATACCCCTTCCTCTTATAAACACGACTGTATTCTGTGCTAACTTTTGCAGATCTCCTTATCGAAGGCTTGTGGCCAAGACTATGCCATAATATTCTACACCTTAAATTGACACCCAGTTACAGTGTAGCTCTTTTGGTACAGCTCAGATTTTGCTTAGTGGCAATGCCACTGCCACAATGTTATTGTAGTCATGTAGTAGCAGCAAGTGCTTACTGCAAATAAATATGTGAAAAGGATATGTATTGCCGTCGTTCAATCAATAAAATTTCATTTCATTCTTGAGTAAAAGTACAGAAAGTGTTTGTTTATTACAAGTGGTTTCATGAGTATAAGATCATTCCAATCTTAAGATTCCTATTTGATAACCCTGAGTCTGGAAAAAGAAAGTATTGTTCTAGAAAAAAGTCTGGAAAAAGTCTTGTATAATTGGGATCCAAAAATCAGAGCTGTCACTAAAATTTCAAGTTGTTGGGTTTATGCAGTTAGTAGGAGGAAAATTGCACAGCCAGAAAGTTGTTTTGGTTTTATTTTCCTTTTGTTTCCTGTAAGAGTAGCCGAGAGTAGTCACGCTCATAGTAGCCAGGGAAAATCCCCGGCCCTCGGCTCTTAGTTACAGCCCTGAAAAATCTGTACAAAGCCTGACCAAACCACCAACCTTGTTTTAGCTGAGGGGCTAAGAGAGTGCCAACTGTTAATATGATCAGTGCTTTGTGATCCAATGACAAAACCATGAGGTGTTTATTTTGTTACAGACACAGGCCTGAGTACCAGATGCACTGTATTCCATCATACTGCCATCCAGGAGGGCTATGGGATGTCATGTTAGAGGTTTATCATGGACTATAGATGATTCTGGGTAGACGCTGGCATGAATGACTTCTAATGTGAATAGATTCATGAATATGCACCTGTATATTAGTTATGGTCCAAGTTTGGTCTTTGGTCCTGTTCAGTAATAGAAATTAATAATAATATTTTGTAACGAATTTGCAGTACAACGAACAATATGCCCTGTTGAGAGGTGTTTTGTTCCCAAGAACTTGTTTATTTGGGATATCACGCCCATTTTTAATGATTGTTCATTATTCGGTTCTATGTAATGTACAGTACTTACACATTTGCATTCTTTTAATTGCTAGTTAGAGATAACAAAGAGTGGCATTCTCTTCAGTCATCTCCAATTTTGCTTCAGTGTGCAGTAGGAACAATTGGCTTGATGTGTCTCTATACATTTTCCTCTCAGATTGCACTTTTTTACTTTTGTGCCAACTCACGCATCTTACATGTACTTTGTCCACAGTAAATATACAAACATGAAAGTAATGTGGCTGAATTATTAGGTATCGATATAGTTTGCATGGTTTGAAGTAATGATATTATTTTCGTGTTATACCAGTTAAAAATCATAATCTGACAATATTTTTTTGATAAAATGTTGTTTAACCATACAGTCATGTACACTGTAAGTAATCTCTACTTGAAAATCTTGTTGACATGTTTTCTTTCTTATGCCCCTGTGGTCATTTTAACAGACTATTTGAACTTTCACTGCTTGTCCAATTATGAAAAATAATGTCTTAGAAGTTTTGCTCCCATTCTCTTGAAACAAATTAATGTCTATAAAATATTCATCTGGTTACTTGTATTTAATTTTCAATAATACATGTACATTTTATTTTGTATGCACTACCTGGAAGGTTTACTTAATGCATGCATTTCAAGTTATTTTTACTAGTAACCAGCTCTGTAAAATTTTCAGGTACACTTGGAAATAACATTGCTAAAAAAAAAAAAGAAGAAAAAAAAGGCACTTTATTTGAGTGTCAATGTATTTAGCACGAAAGCACTAATTAAAGACACTATATTTTTACGTCTCCTACTGGAGACAGGGCCGCCATTTTATGTGGTCATCCGAGCCACGTGAAGGTCTTTTTTTTTTTTTTTTTAAAGAAAAAGGCTTGTTTATTTGTTTTTGATTGTCTAAAAGGCAATGTTTGTAGTCCTTTCAAAGATTATTTTAATCTTTTAATCCACGATTTTAATGCGAGGAACAGCGGGACCACCATTGCTTTGCCGAAATTGAAACTTGTCTTTGCTCGGAAAAGTTTTTACTTTTTAGGCGCTTCAGCTTTTAATTCTTTACCTTTAAAAATCAAGCAAATTAGCTGTAGGATACTATTTAGGGAGTCTTTAGATCAATTTTTTGTATAGTGTAGCTAGTTAGTTGCGTAGTCATTCTTATCTTAGTTTAGTTTTTATCCTTATATTATGTTATTATGACAGGACCCCTTTGATAACAGTGCTCTTGCACTGAAGGGCTATCCTGTATAAATATTCGTTATTATTATTATTATTATTATTAGCCATTTGCAGGGCAAAGGGAGTACCGTCATTTCTTAGTCATTTTAAGATCCTGAGTGTTGGTCCGGTCCCTGGAATTGAACTCGCAACGTCCCGCTCTGCAGTCAAGCACTCTACCGACTGAGCCAATCCTGCCTAGGTAATATAATTTTTAAAAAATATTGTTTGAAGCAAAATATTGTATAAATCACAACCACCTTTGCTATTTTGCTATGTGATATTATGTAAATAACATAATTTTATACATGTAGGTTATGCTATAAATTATTGTGTTTTTGCTTAAAGTTCCAGTCCATGTGAAGTGTAGGACTTTATTTAGCCCTTGGAGGAGTACCTCTCCATACATGTACCTCCCATAAATGATAGGGGTGCTTGTCATACCTTTTGGGGAATAAAAATTGTGGATTGGTACTGCTTGGGTGGTAAAACCTATAATGACCTGTGATGAAATACATGTAGCTTACATGAAGGTCCCTTGACCTTTTATAGATATTGTGTTATTTGAGTGTCAATGTATTTAGCACTAAGGTACTAATAATGGGGACACTATTTTTATGTCCCTTACTGGAGACGGAACCACCACTTTACGTTGTCTTCCAAAACAACCCATATGAAGGTCTAGCCATTTGCAGAGCAAAGGAAGTACCTTCATTTCTCAGTAATTATTTTGGAGAGCCCAAGTAATGGTCCAGCCCTGGAATGGTCCAGGCCCGGTAAGCTGAACTGAACCTGTTACCTTTCCCTTTTGCATCTAACATGATAAAACTGTCAGTTAATGAAACAAAATGGAGTTGTTTGCTAGCCAGGACCCGCGCTGTTATTCTTTATTTTTCGATTTGAATATTTGATTTTGGGCCCGTAAAGTTACCGGGACTTTCGAGAAACGGGCCCCTGGAACTGAACCTGTTACCTCCCTCTCTGCGAGTCTCTGTGGAGGAGAGACACACCAATAACACTACAAAAATATACATGTGCATTATTAGCACAACTTGTCTGAGTTTTATTTGCTAGTTACAGTCATTTTTTACATGAAAGATTTACTTCATAATTATATCTATTTTACTCATGTAATTACAATTAAGATATTACATTTGTATTTTGTTTTAGAAATATTGTACATTTACCTATTACACCTTCATTCTATTTGACCCTGTGATGTACAAAAATGTAAATAAATAAATTAATTAAAAAATAAATAAACTTGTGTACTGAAAATTTTTTATTTCATTGTCATCTACCATAGCCTATAAGCAGTAGCGAGTGGGTTTTCTCTGGAACACCCATGCTTCTTCTATACATGCACTGTGTAAGGCTGTGCTCTAAGGAAAATTGAAGGGAGCCCAGTGCTCTAAACCTGTAAAATCCAGGGTGCCCACCATAGAATTTAGAGTCACCATAGACTCAATAGCTTATTGACCTTGTAAAAGTCTTGGATTTTTTTAAGTAGTGGAATGTATATCTGTGTGTTTTATAGCCCTGTCATTTATTTCTATTGCCGTTCCATTTTAGGGGACTGTGTCATGGCTGTCTCGTTCAGTGGGTTAATATTTCCAGTAACACATCTTTATGCGCTAAGGAGTTTAACATTACCAAAGACTTGATTGAAAATGACTAAGCTTCTCCTAAAGCCTACATACAACAAAAAAGAAATTTGTTAGGAACTGTTAGGCTAACAAGTTTTAAAAAATCACAATAGCAATCTGTCTTAATTGTCTTCAAGTTCGTCCACCTGTGCCTTCTTTTGTATTTGCCTTGTCATTTATACCCTATTAATTTTTTGAGTGGCTATTTTCTATGTTTCACTGAATTCAGTGGCAGCTCTATCTCTCTGTTTGAATTTTGATAAATTGCATGCCAAAGCCCTATTGATATAACTATTCTAGATCAAAATAAGTTTTTTTTACTCAATATTGCTATAAACTATTCCAATACTATCTTTGTTTTGTTGTTGCTTTTGCTTTGTTCCTTTGTTTGTTTTCCTTACATCTGGTACTGCAGTATATAAGGTTTTTTATTTCACTTAATTTATTGCATGTTACGTTTTACTAGGATCTTTTTCAGGGCCATTTTCAAATAATGGACTTTTAAATAAACTAGTTTATTAACTTATTTAAATTTATTTATTTATTTATTTTTAAATTGGTTGCTGTATTCCTTAGTACAGTGGAACTTCTCCTTTGGGACACCTCTATTCAAGGGATACCTCCATTTAGGGAACACAAAATTTGGTCCCAGAAAAATGTTCACACAATGTTTGTGTACAAATTTGTTACCTCTGGTGATGGGACTCCTCTCTTCAGGGGAAAGAGACACCTTTTTTGGGTTGCGAGTGCTGAGTTTAACCTCCATTCAGGGGACACCTTGGCAATCAAAAAGTGACTGTCCACAAACATCAACGATAAGTTTAAC